GGCAAAAATATGTAGGTCACAGAGTAGACAATGAGAAGTTTATTGCCTTCTGTTCACCTTTATTTGATCTGTGACCTTGAGTCACTTCACTTCCCTGAGCCTGAGCTTTCCCACCCCGTTTTGAAATTATGCACTTTGCAAGAGAGATGTTCAATAGCTGCCAATCAACAGTAGCCCCTTTTTAAAATCTCTTTAGGGGAAATTTTAAGGGGCACAGATAATAATGACTTGGTTTCTTGAAACCCGTACCCTAGAGGAGAATATATTGGTGCTCACACTGTAAATAAAACCAAACAGTGCAATAAGTGCTGGAGTTAAAAGTAAGGGCACAGAGAAAGGACTCATTTTTGCCTAGTAGTCCTGAAGATGTCTGGAATTGTTGATTGGTTGTATTAATGATAATGCCATAAGTAGCCTACTCTGATCAACAAGGGCCTTCTTGTACCAGTCTTGATGCTAGGCACACTGCGTGCATTACTAGTCTTCTTGCCATCCCTGAAGGATGACTGCTTTTAGGGTAACCAGAAGTGACATGGAGTACATTATCTATAAGCTACACTTTGCAAGCAGGGGAGCTATTTGTTTATTTTGGGTTTTTGTTTATTGGTTTGTTTTTGAGACGGGATCTTATTATGTAGCCTAGGCTGACCTCAAACTTGTTATCCTCCTACCTCTGCCTCTGGAGTGCTGAAATTAGAGGCGTTTGCCAATACTCTTGGTACAAGTAGGGAAACTTTAAAATGCTTAAAATTTAAGAAAAGAGCTCATGAGACAGAAGAGGAAAGCTAGTGGTTACGGAATGGGGGTAGTAGAGAAAGGTTCTTGGGGCAAAGAAACCATAAGAGCCTGAATGGCTGAGATTCCTGGAACAGGAAGAAGTTGGAATGATAGGAAAGAGACGCTGAAAGCCAAGACTAGGAGAGCCATGTAGAAGGGGACCAGCTTCAGGTTTGTCCCTAGAGGAGGAAAGAGGAGGTTAGAACGTGGAGAGGAGCTGACATTTCCTGGATATGTGCTTCGCTAGGCTGAGCTGTCTCTTTTAATCCTGCTGGCATCCCTGTGAGCTATCAGACTCAAGGACAACTTGCTTATGGTTATGGGACTGTCTGTCCATCTGTGAGCAGCACTAGAACATAAAACACTAAAAGCATAGTGTTTTGAATTTAGGTTGATTTTCCTAATGAGGATTTTCTACAGTAAGTGTGACCAATTTGTAATATATAAACAGGACCAGCCTTCCTACCTTCGCAGAATGGAAAATAAAGAAGCCCTATGCAAATTGTTTCTTTTTTCTCATCATCAATATTACCGATTATATTATTTCTTCTAAATTTGAACTCTTGTGGGTTTTTTTCCCCTTGGTAAAAGAGGAAAAAAAAATCATCTTCAAGGAATAAAGGAAGAGAAATAAATACCCATTTGGATTCCCGTCCCCCTTGCTCACCCCTGCCCCTAACGCATTTGAGAGACACCCAGCTTGGCTCTGTATCAGTAGGAAGCCCTCAGCCAGCAAAAGGAAAACTTTTAGCCACAAAGGCATTTTTTCTTTGGGTGGATCCCCCCAAGAGAGAAGGGGGGAGAAAACGGCCAGTGGGGCAGGGTCTCGGCTGGCAGCCACGGATTCTTCCCCCTTTGGGAAGTGGAGACTTCCCAAAGTATGAGAAAACCCCATATGCAAGCCAGGGAGAGGCTCCAACATCCCACATTTCTGCTATTGGCTTGGATGAATACCATCCCTTGAAAAGACTGGCATTGTAATTATCACTGAATAAACAATCAATTAAAATGTCTCCCCTGCCCCTACCCCACCCAGTGCCCTGCTCATGAAGCCTTCTCATCTCAGAGCACCGGGGCAGAGGTGGTTTTCTCTAGTAACATCAGTGTTCTCTGCTGAGAGAGCACTTGATGGAAGTGGACACATCAATTAGGTAAAAAAAAAATGTGCAAAGGGCTGATCCAAGAAAATCTTGGCTCCTCTGTGTTTTCATTCTCTTCCCATGCCTTACTGCCCTTTCCCCCAAGGGCCTGGGTGAGCTTGGGAGTGAGGTAGAGGATAGAATCAGGGACATCTAGATTCACACTCGGCCTTGTCACTCTGTGTTCCCTGAACCCCAGTTTCTTAATCTGCAAGATGGGAGTAAATGATAGGAATAGCTAAAAGTGTATGTCAGGCATTATTCTAAGCTCTTTACAGTTCACTTATTAGCTTCCTTGGTCCTCTGAACAAAGCTATGAGTGAAATGCTATTGTCATCCTCCTTCTAGAAAGAAAGAAATGAGAGCAGAGGAAGTTAAGTAATTTACTCAGGGTGGCCCACGTATCAAGAGAAACAGAGGCTGGTTTCAATTGTGGGCCTCTAGCTTGAGAACAAGTCATTTCTGAACCAGAGATGAAACATCTCAAGTATCGAAGATGAGATAATTTATATACAAGATGTAATCATTAAATACAGTGAACAGTGAATTTTAACAAATTATTACAGTAAAAGACACATGGCCATCATAATACTCCACCTATTCCATCATTCCAGCCTATTTCTGAAGCATTTCTGAAAGTCCTCTTTCGTGAGTGACTAGTTGCACTATCCTGGCTGCCTCGATGGCTTGAATTGCATCATTTTGATTTTGGGAAAGAGCCAGAAGTCACACAGTGCTAGATCCAATGAATAAGATGGATGAGGACACAAAGTAACTTTTTTAAAAGTCTCCCTTTCCATTGGATGGCACTCAACAACAGTGTTCACCATACTTTATTTTTAAATCACACCTTAAAAAGACACTTATGAAAGAAGACTTCCAGGACTGCTTCAGAGAGTGTGGCAAGAAGAAGAATATGTATTTGAACCAAGGGGGAGTATTTAAAGTGGGTTAATGGTGATGTATCTTTTATTATGTTAACTTTTAAGTTTAAACATACACTATTTTTTGATCAGCTGCTGTACCTACTACAGGGACTGATGTACAGCAAGTACTTTATAAATGGTAGTTTTTTTCATCCTTTCCTTCTCTGATGACAGAGCAAACTGATTAGAAGCTCAATGAGGCCTCCAGTCTAGAAGCTAAATGTAGGATTTGATGCAGAGAATTCAGCATGAAGATTTCTGGTCAATAGCTAAGCTTGTTTGGTTATCACTGGAGTTAGCCAGTTCAAGCTCCATCTTTGCTTCCAACTTTGACTATTAAGCAATAAAAATTATGGCCGCATGAACATTTGGTTTCATCGGAGCAGGGCTTTCTATGACATGAGTGGCCAGAAGAATACCCTAGGTATCATACATATCCTGTTTATATCAGGGTAGAAGTGTAGGTTTGAAACCCACAGAGATGCCCTGCAGAATAACAGATAGTGGTTAGTGTCCAAATGTGCTGATAAGGGAAGCAAAACCTCATAATCAGTAATTGCTGAAGTTGGACTGAAACTTGAATATCTCAGCTTCTACTTTTCCTTATTTAAATTTAATTTCATTAACATTTACTGATTTCTTGCTTGGGTATCAAGCACTAAGCTGAGAACTGAGTAACAAAGAGAAATAAGGCAACTTCTTTGCTAGCAGGTATCTGTAGAAGAACGTAATTCCAGCACTCTGGGAGACTGAGGCAGCTCAAGAGAGGTGACAGAAAGAGCTGAGGCTAAGGGAGCAAGTTTTGTGGGGAATTTGAGCTTTATTCTTCCACAGGCCATTCTTTTACCCCAAGAGGGAACGAGAAGAGAATCATCGTTAAAGTATGCTACTGGACAGGCTTCGTGAGAACTCCAGGGAGAGACAGAGTTATGAAAAAAGAGAACACCACCAACTAGCTGCATGACCTTAGCAAATTATGAAGGTCCTCTGAGCTTCTGTGTCTTCTAGAAAATGGAAAGCAATATTGTCTATGTCTGGCTATTAAAAAAAAAACAACTAAAAAAAAAGCCATGTAAAGTTGGAACACATAGAAAGACCAACAACACCATGATATCATTATTCATTGAACCCCCTAAGTTCCTGCTTTTTTGTTTATTTAGGTTTTTATTCTTTAATTCATGAATTCATTTCCAATCTCACTCAAAAATAATTGTCAGGTGTTAACATGGATCCCTGATGCATGATAGCAGACAAAATGAGGGATGAAAGAGGCATGAGAGAGGAGCTAGAAGTATCACTCTGTTTAAAATAAGAGCTGTAGAAAAATATGGATGATACAAAGAATAAGGCAGCCCCTCCTACAAAGTGTATCTTTTCTGATGAAAGTGCTCTATTTCCCTTCCTCTTTACCAAGCTAAGATGTCCCAGTCTCTGTCCAACATATCTGTGTCATGTGGGATTCATTCATTTATAAGATATGTCAGTCTATAATGACAGCAATCCTAAATATATTTTCACGCAGTAGTCTATTTTACCCATAGGGAAATAGAGCTTTACAGAATGCAAAATCACCTATGAGTGGCAGCATGATGCCTCAATGAAAAGAGAAGAGGTTTTCAGGCTGGGGTGCATTAACCTTGACTCTCACTTCTGCAACTTCGGATAGCCTACTGAAAGGCATTAGGGTCCATGTTGCTCATCTTGGTAACAAAATAATATTGCTTCCTTCAGGGTAAATGTAGATATGCAAAACATACATTCTACTGCGCTTCCATGCTGAGACTAGAATACATGTTGGCTCACCCATAGTCTGGGATCTTAATCTATACCGTTACGTGGCCTTATTTACAGTCACTATAGCAGTCTTTAGGGGTGAAAACGTTGACTATAGATAAATGTACATTCAAAACTGAACCCTGCTTTTTTGAGCTGAGCAATGTTGGCAAGTCTCTTAAGCACACAAGGATTTATTTTTTCTTATCTGTAAAGTAGGGTCATCTTATAATAGTATTTGAGATATTCGGTGAAGAGGTGTTTATAAAGAGTTTAGTGAAGGGCCTGGCACATAATAGCTCTTAATTATTTGGGGAGCACTTGTAATTTGAAGAATACCTTTTATAAAAGGTGATAACAGCTGAGGTTATTTTTTCTGTTGCAGAGCCTACTTGGATGTTAATGAGCTGAAGAACATTCTTAGATTGGATGGCTCAACACACCTCAATATATTCTTTGCAAATTCTTCAGAAGAAGAGTTGGCGGGAGTAGCAACCTGGCCATGGGACAAGGAGGCCCTAATGCACTTAGGTGAGTCTCAGAAACTTCTACTAGCAGGATGTCCAGTAAGACAGTAACAAATTTAATACTGAGAATGATCACCTCCAGGATCCAAAGGTGCATGTGGTAATGGAATTCCCAGTAATGTATTTAATTTACAAAACTATTTAGCATTCCTTATCTCATTTTGACCATTAAGAAATGTTCTGAGGGAAATGCACAATACTGTTAACCATGTTTTATTAATAGCAAAAACAAACAGGTCCTGGAGCTTTTCCATGATCCACACCCAAAACAGTGACAGAGCCATAACTAAAACTCAAGTTCCTGACTCTGGACATTGACTGCTTTCTCTTTATATGTTCTGCTTCATAGTTTTTGGAAATATCTCAGCCCAGTGACCACACTGCACTGGCCCCAAAAATCTTGGGCTAGTTTGAAAGACACCAGAAAGGGCAAGAGAAAGAGAATCTGTAAGAACTCATTGTTCCTCCTTGATTTGCCCACTGGCCCCAGGAACTCTTCTTATATTTCAATTATACACATGTATAAGCAAGACATAAATTTATACAAACCAAACACCAATAGTCAAAAATGACAATGGTTTTTGAATCAAGTCCTATAAGTAAATGTACTAGTTCTGTTATTTTGTGTTTTCCATGCTCTTGTCCATATATCTTGTCCATATATGTGTCCATATATATGTATGTCATACATATATAGGTGTGTGTGTGTGTATATATATATATATATATATATATATATATATTTGCACTTTTTACTTGTGCATATTTGAAGACATAGAATACATTCAATTGTATACTTTTTTTCACTTGTTATTATACTATCTGTATTTTAGAACTACTTCCTGCCCAGCTTTTCCCCTTGAAAGTCACCAGAGAATAGTACCCTGTGGATTATTTGCCACCTCTCTAAAGATGAAAGTTTTAGTAGCCTCATAATGTTCCACTGAGGAAAAGCACCACAGTTGAATTGATTAACTGCTTTCTCTTAGGAAGAATACTCAGATTCACAACAACAAATAACTGTGAACATCTTTATCTGAGAAAGTTAGAGCTCAACAGAGTGACAAGGCTGGATCTATACTCAGGTCCATCTGATGCCTCCTGTGACGCACTTGTAGTCCAGCGGCTGCTATAAATCTGTGTTTTGGAGATGAGAGATTCTACAGCTTGAAATAGAAAGAAATTGCACTGGCTCAAACCATATTTCTTTCAGTCTGCTCTTATTTTGCAATTTTTTAAGGACATGAAATATGTGTGTGTGCATTATAAATAAAGAAAATTGCAGATGTAAATATCTAGTTATTCATTCGTGACTCGAGAGATTTTTGTCCCCTAGGAGACATTTGGCAATGTCTAGAGAAATTTTTGGTAGTTATAAGTGTGACCATGCCACTGTCTTCTACTGGTCTGAAACTAGCAATGCTGCTCGATGCTCTACAATGTCCACAATAAAGAATTACACAGTAAAAATGTTAATGATGCTAACATTGGGAAACCTTGAGATAGACGAAGGAGAGGCGCGTAGACACACGCAGACAGGCTATCCAGAAGAGAGTATACAAGTTAGGAAAGTTAAATGTGATCGGCTTATGTCCTATGCCTACTGTTATCTTTGGAGATCATACTAGACCAGAGCAAAAACATAATTGTTCTTAGCTATGACTTAGCAGTATGGGCTTGCTTTCCTCAGGTCACAGTTTCCTAAGATTTTAAATAGAGAGGTTAAAATGGATGGCATCTGAAGCCCTTTCTCAGAACTGAAATTCTATGCTATTGGAAAAGAAACCAGAAAATCCACGATCAGACTCTGAGAAGGATTGAACAGCAGACTTCTAAAGTTAGAGAAAAATAGACCTGATAATTCCATGAATGTTGGAGACTGGCTGAGGGCCAGGAATATGGGAGGCTATAAATCCATAGCATGTTATAGTATTTCAGGATGATGTCAGGCTCAAGCTATTTCACCTTTTAAAAGAAGCAATGAAACAGGACTTGGGCACAGTTCTGTCATTCTGTGAGAAAGGATATTAAGGTAGAACAAACACAGGCAGGCTGAACATTAAGTCTGCTGTCTTATCATCATCCCCAGGACTATCCTGCCTTCCTGCTCCTTTAACATACAAGATTCATGGAGAGGCAGAGAACCATTAACAGCATTGTAGCTGCTTAGTTTAGAGCTCACCAGAGATGCAAAGTCAGTTGCTCCAGATCAAAAGGCCTTTAAAACAGAACAAGGATTGCAGCACATGTCTGGCTTGCTCCAGCCAGCCTACACACTGCCGCCTCTCCATTCTGAAGGATATTGGTCGTAAGCTGTTCCTGTGCAGTAGCCCTAATCAAACTCAATAGATCAGAACCATATTTTTTGCCCTTTTTTTCCTCCTGTTACACCATGATCCCTGGAAAAAGCTTTGGGTGGGAAGGGGATTATGTTTCATATGATGATTGACAGAAAATAATTGAGAAAGATTTCCCGTCTCAATTTCTCTTCCTCCCTGCCTCTGCCTGCCCCTTCTCACACCCACACACACATGCACACACTTACCCACGCGCCCTTTCATACATTTCTAGTTGTTAGAAGTCTCCAAGCAATTCAGGATTAATAGACTCCATGAGCTCCATGACTGAGCAAACTTGCTACCCCAGCCAAGGCAAAATTCTTGCGAGCCTGTTCTGGGCTTTCCAGTCCAAATCAATAAGGCCTTGCTTCCTCACCGTTCTTTCGTAGGATACAGCTCTATGGCTAACGTCTCCACTTGTAATATTCTCGGGTCTGAATTTTAACCTTCCCTTAAACACTTTTAGATTTTAAAGTCTAAATATCCCCCTGTCTATCTATATTCATGTTTCCCTTGCCTAACCTAAATATGGAATCAGAACTATTCATTTGATTCTCCTGAGTTCTGTTTTTGCCTATTCCTCAAGCTGCACCATGCTCCATCTTCTGAGATGTGCTGTGTAGACCACTGCTGCTCAAACAGAGTCTACAATACAGACAGGTCACTGGGAACTCTAGTGAAAGTGTAGATTGTGATGCTGTGAATGAGGAATAAGGCTCGAGAGTCTGCGTTTCCACCAAGTCACCAGGTCACCTTTAGGCTGCTTGTTTTTGTATGGATGGACAAGAAGGTGCACACATGATGCAGGCCAGGTGCTCTTCTAGCTACTCACAAATGATTAATTATAGCTCTGAACACCCTTTAGAACAAATATTCAACACACATTCAATGAGATGCTATGTTCCAGGCCTCATGACAGGCATTAGTGACAGAACATTAATTAGAGTCCTGGCTTTGATACTCAAGGATCTTAAGTTCAAATTTCAGCTCTAATCTTGCTCCCAATCACAGACCAGTTACTTCACCTCTCTGTGAATCCATGCTTCTCTTGTTGAGTTGTGAGTGACTAAATGTGATTATATTCCTGAAATACTCATTGCAGCACCTGAGTATTGGCTGAGGTGGGCCCTGTTATATTGGTGAGCACAGCTTGGTGCTATTTTTCAGGAGTGTTCTTGCCTTTCGAGCATCAGAGTTGAGGAGGTGTCATTCTGAGATGGTAATTCACCTTCATAATGTCACAGAGTTAGTGAAGGCGAAACAAGAATGGAGCTAAGGTTTCTAAGCCTGAGTGAGGATTTGATTAGGATAGGTACATGCAGAATGTTGGTAAAATTTTCAGCAAAAAGGCATGTCAACCTGGAACTCAGAATCCTTGAATTATAATCATGCCTCTCCTTTCAAATACTTTGAAATTACATAGGTAAGTTGCCTCCCCTCTTCAGGCATAGGAATTTTCATCTGAAAAATAAAAGGGGATTATAAAAAGTAAGTTTTGAGGCATCTTCCTGCTCTGACAACTAGTGTGATTCATGTCACAGGTTGTAACAGTGCTTGGGGCAGTGGAGAAGCCAGTTGTTATTTTAGGCATCATCCTTTTATCCTTGATTAACTTGGGATTTTTGCACCAGGAAGCAGTTTTCCCTGCTTGCCTAACACTCTGGATTTCCCCTTGCAGGTGGCATTGTCTTGAACCCGTCTTTCTACGGCATTCCTGGGCACACTCACACCATGATCCATGAGATTGGGCACAGTCTGGGCCTCTACCACATCTTCCGAGGCATCTCAGAAATCCAGTCCTGCAGCGACCCCTGCATGGAGACAGAGCCTTCCTTTGAGACCGGAGATCTCTGCAATGACACCAACCCAGCCCCTAAACACAAGTTTTGTGGTGATCCAGGACCAGGGAATGACACCTGTGGCTTTCATAGCTTCTTCAACACTCCTTACAACAACTTCATGAGCTATGCAGGTAGGGCTCTACATTCCACTTGGCATGGTCCAGTCCCGCATAGGAGTGCGTGTCAGACAGGGGCTCCATTCCTGCCTTGGGGTAACCTTGAACAAGCTGCTTACCTTCCCTAAGGCTAAGAATTCCTACCCTCAATAAACATAAAAAGGCCCCTTCCATGAGCACCTGAGGGCCACAAAGAAGGTGTTGCATCTCAAAGCTCCTTAAACTAGGGCGGCGGATTTAGCTCAGTGGTGCCACCACCTGCCTCACAAGTGCAAAGTCCTGAGTTCCATCCCTGGTACCAAATGAACAACACCTCAAACTCACTTTAGGCAGGAAACTGAGATCCAAAGCCAAAAATCTCAGGTAGAAGGCCTGTCATACCTAATTCCTTACGGTCATCCCATCTCTGGACCTCACTTTTCTCAAGAAAATAAAATCTTTGGATTTTACTTCCAAGGTCCTTGCTAGTTTTGCAGGTGTATTTTTCAAAGCTGTTGGGTTGTTGAACCTTTTCTATTTAATTCAGGTCTTCCTTATATAAAAGTAAAACTCTCACACTCTTTTTCACTGGTTTTTGCAAAGGAAAAAGATGTTTTGAGTTTTACAAATACAAGATCATTACACAAGATCAGGGTGTTTTTTTTTTTCCTGACTATATTTTATCACAGCCCCTTCATAGACCACCAGCGGCAGTGTGAAGGACTCCTACTGCAGGTTCTAGGATGTCTTGTGCTTTGCCTTAGCGCATGGTACATCAAGGCCACTTGAGCCCTCTTAACACCTTTGGCAAATAAGAACAAGACACTCCTTCCTCAGGGCAGTCCCAGCTTTCACCACTGGCCGCTGTTGTTAAGTGTCCTTATGAAATCCACTCATTTGCACGTGGTAGGCTAGCACTGAATCTATTGTACTTAAGTTAGGCATCTCATTCTTCACTAGAGCAAGGAAATTCTATGAAAGGAGAGATGGTATCTAGATAATCACTATATTGTCAGACCTAATGCAGGATCTGGTACTTAGTAAATATTCTTTAATTAGTAAGGAAGCAAGGAGAGGAAGAAAAAAGGGAAGCCGAAAAGGAGGAAAATATGTGAGTTCTTATAATAGGTATATATAAAATTGATTCTTACCAACAATCGTATTTTCATCTACATAATAATTTATTGTCCCAAAAAGGTGTTAATATTCTCCAAATCATTTAATTCTCACAACAGATCAATAGGGTAGGAACTATCCTCATTTTACAGACAACACTACTGAAGTTCATTGAAGTCATTTGCCCCATATGGGGAAAATGGAACAGTCTGGGTGGTTTCACAAGTTTTTTTCCACAAAGATAGGACAGGGGTTCCATGGAAAACTTCGAGCCTGGAGGTCTCCATTCCTCTTGGCCATCAGAGACCCTCTTCCAACCCTGTTGCATTTCTGTTGGCATTTACTAATTGCGTTTGAGATTTGGCTGCTGAATCCCAGAGGATTTGGTGGACCCCACTGTTTCTTCCTGCTTTCCCATTTGGGCTGATGACATCTGGGCGCCTCTCCAGATGTAAGATTCCTGCAGTCTAAATCTGACATCTCTGGAAAAATCTGTGACTCACCATAAAGATTTGAGTCTCTGAAAAAGGCCAGGGTGCTGGGTATTTCCTCAAAAGCAGATTCCCACTGGGCTCTCACTCCCGACCCCGCAGACACTGCACATCCGGTGCCCCATCCCCTCACATAGCCGTGCTTACGTTCCATTTCTGTAGCACCTTTCCCTGGCCAGCTCAACACACATGGAAAATAAACAATAACATGAGTTTGGAAGTTTGCCGGCCTCTTAGGGACCTACAAACTGCCACTAGCTACCAGACCCCCATAAACTAAATCTCCTTTTTTGTTCCTTTTTGTACAGATCTAAAGGGTGATTGATTTACTGATTTTTTTTAAAGGAACCCCTCAGCTCAGTGACCCATTAACAACAGAACTAATTCACTGAGCTACAATAACAAACTTACACCCGCAAAAGCATATTCAAGGCGACTATGAGCTTTGAAATGTTTGTTTTCCTTAGGATCTCTGATAGATGAGGTGACAAAAGCAGCTGGAGGAAATTCAAAATGCAGAATGGGATTGGGTTCTCAGGGCTGAAGAAAGTAGTGCACTGGGCTCCCTCCTTCAAGAAAAAAAGGCAGAGACACAGTGGAGTCAACTTCTTCCAGTTGCATTTCCTTCCTGGGTTCTGTTTCCTCCAACCTGGTTACTAGCAGCCCTGTCTAACAGAGCTCTCTGCAAAGGGGACTGTAATTTACTGAGCACTTGAAATAAAACTAGTGCAACTGAGGACCTATTATTTTAATTAATTTAAACTGAAAAAGCCATGTGAGCTGCTGGCTACCATATTGGTTTTGTAGGCCTATAATAATCCCTGAGTACATCTGACATACTCCACACTCGGTGTATGGAATCCTCAAAATAACCCAAATGGGGTTATTAAGTGCTGTTATTATCATACCCATTTTCCGGATGCAAGAAAAGTGGTTCAGGTAGCTTTATTAGCTTATCCAGGATCACAAATATAAACCAAGACAAAAGTTCAGCTTAAATCCAAGTCTTTATTACTGCACCATTTCTGTGCTTAAAGCAGACAGCAACAGGTGATAGGCAGAAAACACCAGAGGAGTTCGTGTTAGATAAGCCCTGGGCCAACAAATGGACAGCAACCCTAACTCCACTTCCTGAAGAAAATAAGGCACAAATAGGTGCTCAAAGAATCAAGACTTCCTCAGAAATGCAAAATCAAAAACAAAGACAAAAATAAACAAACAAACAAACAAAATCAGGCTTTCTCAAGGCTACGGGCTATGTTGCCCTTTTTCTGTGTCTCAGAGCATGCTTTGACTCAGGAATCCTTCTCTAAGGAACAAGTAATTAATTAAATAATTAATGTGTTTAAAAATTTTATCTATAAGCATGCTCTTAGCAATATCCATCCCCAATATATTTATTAGGCATTTACTAGATGCCAGACAAAGAAGAAAAATGTTTTTTTTTGTGTGTGAAAAGTTTTAGAAATAGCTTACAAGCCTGAAAATGGATTGCTGATAAACTATAAGATATCCATCTACTAGAACATCATTCAGCCAGTAGAGATGTTGCAGAAGATGGTTGAGGGGCGTGAAAAGAAGCAGCAGAGTAACATAATGTCTCAGAGTCTGACATGTGGAGGGAGGATCCGGAAGTTGAATCTTCTATGTCCTCGTGTTTGATCCTGGGCAAATTACTTCTTCCTCAGTTACTTCCTCCATATCATGAAGGATAATTACATTTCGGATATAACCATGCCAATAAGGGACTTAGAGCTGTCCTTGATATCAGTTAGTGCCTGATAAATGATAACTAAGAGGATTATTTGACTATTGAATGTGAAAAGGGTCATGGAGTCTTGTGTATAATGTAAGGCACACACATGTATCATAATCTCTGTAAATATTCATATACACATACATGTATATATATACATACTTATATACACCCACATATATGTGTGTGTGTGTGTGTGTGTGTGTGTGTGTATATATATATATAT